ATATAAATGTATGTTCATAGATCTAGTTGTCTATTGTTATATATAAGTATATTTATATGTGTACATGCCTGTATTTAGACCTCTATAAATGGCCTTTGCCTCCTAGTTCTTTCCTCTATTTCCTTTTACTTTCCTCTTGTGTCCCGATATCATGTTCAACCTTCATTCGGGTCTCAGTAATTCTTCTAGACTATATTGCCCTTGATCAAGCCCTACCAGGCATTCTAGGCCATCGATTTTAGATCACTTGTTGTTCCCTTGTCCATGAGTTTGTTGGCACTCTCCTTCCTTTCCCCGCTGCCTCCCCCTCTCCTGCGGCCTCCCCAGAACTGTCAGTCCTGTTGTTTTCTCTTCTGGGTTGTTTATCTCGCTTTTTTATCTAGACAGACATGAAAAAAAACAATAATAAGCACAAAAGAAAACAACAACCCAAAAAGCCTGTAAGTAGATCCAAGTCTGTTTATTAACATTTAAGTGTTTTCTGGTCGAATCTGCTGGGTACCACGCCCTGGCCCTAAAGTCTATTTTTGGTATTCCCCAGGCACTTCATTGCTTTGTTCCCCATGCTGCTGTGTTGCACACCCTTAGTGTTTTGCCCTGGTGTGATGGGGTCAGATCGGGCACAATTCCCACACTATGTCCCAGTGTTGTCCTCCATAGTGCTATGGGTCAGTGAGGGACGTTGTGTCTCGTGGTAGGGCCAGCCCTATGATCCTCTCTGTGCATTGGCTGCCCTGAATAGGAATATCATCCTCGGGCCTTGGTGGGCCAGGATGTGCTCCACTCTCTCTCCTTCCCTCTTCGTCTGCTCCTGTGCTCTGATCAGACGTGCACCTCTCCCTGAGCTGTAGCTTCCATGCTGACCTCTGTAGTGCATTTTTCTGGGGTGAGGGGGGTGGGGCCGTCAAGCTCAGCGTATCTTAAACTAAAAGAATTCAAGAAAAAATTCAAGCCTTGAGGTGCAATATTAAAAGATTTATGAGCAGTGTTGACTAAGGTAGGATGCATCAAAAGAAGATGGGGGAAAAATACACAGAATCACTGTACCAAAAAGGACTAGTTGACATTCAACCACTTCAAGAGGTCCCATATGATCAAGAGCCAATGGCACTGAAGAAAGAAGTCCAAGTTGCATTGAAGCCATTATCCAAAAACAAGGTGCCAGGAATTGGTGGAATACTAATTGAATGTTTCAACAAGCTGATGAAGCACCGGAAGCACCATGTGTCTCTGCCAAGAAATTTGGAAGACAGCCACTTGGCCACCTAACTGGAAGACAGCCACATTTGTATCCATTCCAAAGAAAGGTGACCCAACAGAACGCTCAAATTAAAGAACAATATCACTGATATCAGATGCAAAGCAAAGTTTTGCTGAAGATCATCCAGCAGCAGTTGCAGCAGTACATTGATAAGGAGTTGACAGAGGTTCTGGAAGATTCAGAAGAGATGTTGGAACAAGGAATATCATTGCTGATGTCAGATGGGTCTTGGCTCAAAGCAGAGAATATCAGAAAGATATTTACTTGTGTTTTATTGATGATGCAAAGGTATTCGATACCTAACAATATATAACAATCTATGTATCGTCTTGAGAGGGATGGGAATTCCAGAACACTTCATTGTGCTCATGTGGAACCTGTAGATCAGTGGTTCACAACCTTCCTAATGCCGGGACCCTTTAATACAGTTCTTCATGTTGTGATGACACACACACCCCCCCACTGAACCATAAAATTATTTTCGTTGCTACTTCATAGAACATTAAGGATATAGTCTTTAGTCCACATCGGTGCCTCTCCTCAACCAGCAGCCAAGTCTCTCTCTGGTTCTCAGCCTCTCAGCCATGTAGTCTGTGGTAGTTACATAATCTGTCATCAATTTGAGACTTACAAGTGAAGGAGTGATTGTGATAAGAGTTGTATGTACCCCTAATAAAATGATTTTCTTAAAAGAGAGAAAGAAAAAAGAGTGAAGGAATGGAGTTCAGCCTATCAATCAGGTCGCAGCTTGATGACCTCATCTGGAGGTGCTAAGGAGATAAATAGCTTGCTGGAGGCGGGACCCAGGCTCACTCTCTGTGAGACATTACTGAAGAGGAGCCTGGTGGAGCTATGCTAATGCAGCCAGAGCCCTGGGAGCTGGAGGAGACCCCTGCCAGTGCTGAGATACTTCTACCACCACTGGATCCACAAGACTTTTCAACCACTGGCCTGTGATCTTCCTGCATTCAGTGTCATTGCATGTGTTGTGTGAGTTTGAAGAGGAATTTATAAACTGGTATCACACATCTGGGCTAATATTGGGCTTATGGATTTGATCTGGGCTAGGATGTTTTCTCAATATTCAAGTGCACTGGTATATAAAGCTCTTTCTTATTCACATATGGGTCTCCCTGGATTTGTTTCTCTAGTCTACCCGGATGAACACATGCAGTCTCTCTGATTCCTGTGTGCTCTCTCTGACAAAGTCCGCACACACAGTTGCCATTTACATTGTGGAAAAATTACATTCCGATGGCTACTCATTGGCCTTGCAAAGTCCTATGCTGCAATCGCCAGCAGAATTTCTATCACCAAGGCTAATTCTCCACCTCCCGATCCTTCGTCTTTGTCTCCCACACTCACATTCCAATCGCCACTTGTGATCAATGCGTCTTGAGTGCATGCTTGATCCGTTTCAGACTGCAGAAGTTGGTGCCGTTGCTCGGTTTCTTCATCTTTGACATCAGTGACTGGTGTGGAGTTGCTGTAATTTATTTATTTATTTTAATCCTTTTATTCGGGGCTCATACCACTCTTATCTCAATCCATACACACATCAATTGTATAAAGCGCATTTGTACATTCATTGCCCGCATCATTCTCAAAACATTTTCTCTCCACTTAAACCCCCGGCACTAGGTCCTCATTTTTCCCCTCCCTCCCTGCTTCCCCCTCCCTCATGAGCCCTTGATAGTTTATAAATTGTTGCCCTGTCCGACGTCTCCCTTCACCACCTTTTCTGTTGTTCGTCCCCCAGGGAGGAGATCACATATAGTTCCTTGTAATTGGTTCCCTCTTTCCTACCCACTCTCCCTCTACCCTCCCTGTTTTGCCACTCACACCACTGGTCCTGTAGGGCTCATCCGCCCTGGATTCCCTGGATTTTCAATTCCTATCTGTACTAGTGTACATCCTCTGGTCTAGCCAGACTTGAAAGGTCGGATTTGAGTCATGGTAGTGGGAGTGGGGAGGAAACATTTAGGAATTAGAGGAAAGTTGTATTTTTCATCGTTATACATCGTACCCTGACTGGCTCATCTCCTCCCCGAGACGCCTCTGCAAGGGGCTCTTATGTTTAACCATTTTATTGGGGGCTCTGACAGCTCTTATCATGTTGCATGCATCAACTGTCTCAAGCATATTTGTACATATGTCGCCAGTTGCTGTAATCTTAACAGAAGCAGCTCACCAGATGTTTCTTTCCTGGTACCCCTGGGTGGGTTCAGACTACCAACACTTAGGGTAGTACTTGAGCTCCAACCCTTTGCACCACCTGGAGGTCCCTTGGGAGGAGGTCTCGCAACAACAGCGTCAGGTCCCTCTGGAGAAAGAGGAGACAAAAGCTGCTATTGAAGGGCTCAGCCCGACCCACACAAGGGCAGGAAAGGGGGCAAGAAGGGAATTGCAGGGATACAGGCAAGCCTGGCTATGTTGAGGAGGGAGATTGAGGACAGATATGGTATGACTTTATCAGAGAAAGGTGAGGTTTTCTACGCCCACAAAGAGGCACACTCTTGGAAACCCATAGGGGCAGTTCTACCCAGCCCTATAGGGTCGCTCTGAGTCCCCATGTGCAAAATGGCAGCGAGTACGTAGTAGAGTATTCTAAGGCATAGAAGATCACAGGCATGTGAGAGATCACACAACCAAGGGTCACGACCCACAGAGTCACAGGAAGGCACAAGGGCCCCAACCAGGCTGCCGAGAGAATGGCGCTTGGGAGGTAGGGGCCAGGCTCAGGGGAGCCAAGGGAAAGTGCTGGGAAAGTGAGTGAGCCCACAGGGACACAGGGTGGGGAGGCTGGTCTGGGCTGAGTGTGCTGGCCCCACCTTTCTCTCCTACAGTGGGACTTGGTGTGCGACTCCTACAAACTGAAAGAATTGGCCCAGTCGGCCTTCATGGCGGGCATACTGATTGGCGGGATCGTGCTGGGAAACCTGTCTGACAGGTGAGACGGGGAGGTCTTGCAAGGAGAGGCACCACCCAGGGAGACAACTGAGTGCCATTCTGCTTGCTTGGGGGTGCCTGAAAGTCTTCTCTGGGTGGCCCTGGGCAAGTTCTATTAGCTCTCTGGGTTACAACCTTCTCTCTTCCCCAAGGTCTTTACCGCCTGAGTCTTCAGCCTCCCTAGACCCAGGAGTGGGGGAAGGGTGGGGGAGCCCTGGTGATGTAGTGGTCACTCTTCAGGCTACGATCCACAAGGTCAGCAGTTTGAAACCGCCAGCTGGTCCTCCGGATAATGACAGGGCATGCGACTCCCATCAAGAATTTCCGTTCTTGGAAACCCACCAGGGCAGTTCGACCCTGTCCTATAAGGTCACTGGCATCGACCTGGGGGCAGGGAGGTTTTCTATGGAGTCCCTAGGGGAGATCCAGGCCTTCCTGGCATGGCGTTGTGGCAGCGGAGGGGCCAGGTGGTACGGGCAGGCCGTATACAGATGGCACTCTTTTTGACCCCTGCTCGGGCTGCTGAGCTGGGCATAGAGGTGGCGAGATCACCCATTAACTCAAACCTCTAATTACAAACTTGTTGAAATATAGCAATTACCAGGAAGGCTCTGTAGGGGAGGAAGCAATGAAGCAAGGCAAGAGAACTACCAGCCCCCCTGGTCTTTGGGGTGTTGGGGGCAGGGGCAGGGGGGGCGGGGGGTGGTGGTGCCCAGGCCCTTCACACAGGAACCTTCAGAGTCACTTGCCTTGGCAGGGCTCCGGGGCTGACAGCCCCACCTCTTCTTTGCGTTCCAGGTTTGGCCGGAAGATTATCCTGTCCTGGAGCTACCTGCTGCTGGCAGCCAGCGGCTGTTGCACGGCCTTCAGCCCCACCCTCCTGGCCTACATGGTCTTCCGCTTCCTGGCTGGCTGTAGCATCTCGGGCATTACCCTGAGCACGGTGATCCTGAGTGAGCGGCGTGTAGGGGGTAGAAATAGTTTGGTGACCACCAGCCAGGAGCTGGAAGAGGAGAGAGAGAGAGTGCCTGAGACCTTCGTCAAAGTGCTGCGCCTCTCGGCAGCCCCACAGAGGCCTCTTCTGAACGGAGCAACAAGCGTGTGGCTTGTTGTCCATCGCTGTCCAGTGGAGTCTGGCGCACAGTGACCCCATGTGTGTAGAGCAGGGCTTTCAAGGCTATGACCCACGGGCCTGTCGTGCGAGATGCATCTGCGTGGGTTCAAAGCACCAACCGCTCCTGCTTGTAGTCTCTTCTAAGCGTATTCATAGCCATGGTCCATGCGGAGGCTCTGCTGTGTGCCTGCCTGCCCCTCCCCCAGCACGTTCTCCTTCCGTCCACACACTCAACTAAGTGACACTATAGTCCCCAGTTTACAGATGAAGACGGCAGGCCACCACGGAAGTCACTTGCCACTGGATAAGCAGTGGTCCAACCCATGGGCTTAGGAGTCAGGCAGAGCTAGGTTGGCGTCCTACCTCCTTGAGCCTCAGTGAGAGCATTTGTAAAATGGGCTGGCTGGACATGAAGTCGAGTAGCCACTGGGAGGCAAGAGGGAAATGCCTGGGGTCCGTAGGACTCTCATTTGGTCCCTGGGCTCCTCTCTCTCTCTCTGCAGATGTCGAGTGGGTGCCCACCCGGGTACGGGCCATCCAGTCGACCACCGTTGGCTACTTCTACACCATTGGCCAGTTCATTCTGCCCGGCCTGGCCTATGCTATCCCTCAGTGGCGCTGGCTACAGTTAACTGTGTCTGTCCCCTTCTTCATCGTCTTCCTGTTGTCCTGGTATGTGACACACAACACACACACACACACACACACACACACACACACACACACACACGGAGAGACCCGCTTCCTTTGGTCCACTAGGGATGAACAGGTTGGCTAACCGTCTATCCCTAGGCCCCCCTGGCCCAGCATCAGGAAACAGCATTCTTGGGAGGAGGATCTGCAGAAGTAAAGGCAGGCAAGAGGTGGGAGAAGCTGTCCAGGGGGCCCTAAGGGGCTGCCTGCAGCCGAAGAAGGAAAGTCCACGGAGGTGGGCAGGGTGGAGATGGAAAGCCAGGAGGCCCCTTGGGTGGGGAGAGGCCTGGCCAAGGGTCCATCTGTGAAGCAGTGGTCCCGGAGGGCAGACCAGGTTGGGCAAGAGGAGAGGCGGGGACAGGAAACTAAAGGGAGCCCTGGTGGTGTCATGGTTACATGTTGGGCTGCTAGCTGTAAGGTCGGCGGTTCAAAACCACCAGCCCCTCCAGGGAAGAAAGACGAGGCTTTCTTCTCCGTAAGGGGTTCCAGCCTTCAAAGCTCACAAGGGAAGCTCTCGCCTGTCTCATTGGGTCACTCTGAGTTGGCAAACCGACTTGCTGGCAGGGAGTGTCAAAGAGAGAAAGAATCTAAAGGCAGCGGGAGCCTGGGGACACATCTGAGAGATTTTGGAAGGAAGGACTCTCAGAAGTTGAGGACTTTTAAGTTCAAGGTGGAAAGAAGAAGTCCCTGACACGCCCGAGCAGGGTGGAGAGCTCATTTGAAGTACTAGGTGAATTCCATCCTCCGAACACCACACCTGTGGACACATGGAGGGCAGAAGACAAGTCGAAGGTGTAGGAAGACAGGACCTCGTGGACCAACTCAGCGAAAGAAATGACGGTCTTCGCTGCAGCCTTCCTGGAGAAGGTACTGTGCAGATGAGGGCTTGGTCCGGCCATCGGCCTACCTTGTCTCCAAGCTTCCCGGCCTTTCTGGATGAAGGGCCTGCGATCCCCACTGCACACACGAGGACACCAGAGAGGTCAAACACGTGGCAGCGGCAACACAGACAGGCGCCGAGCTGGAGGAGACCTCAGCTTGGAAAGGAGAAGTGAAGCTCCAGGCTGTTGTGGCTCGCGGCCATGGAGTCAAGGTCCGCGATGGCGTCCCCACGTGGGTAGCGTGCGACAGCTCCATGGGGTTTCAAGGTCGGGCCCCTTCACAAGCAATGGCCAGGTCTGTCTCTGGTGAGTTCGAACGGCCAACCTTGTAGCTAGTCGTCAAGCCCTGGGACCACCCAGGGAATGGGAACGGGCCTTCCCAGGGAGCACAGGCAATCTGAGAGTGAGTGAGTGAGTGAGCGAGCGAGCGAGCGAGCGGATCCAAGGAGTGTCCACATTGTGGAACGGGTCAGAGAGGGTCAGCAGGACAAGATGAGTACTCAAGCCCCTGCGCTGTGTGGCTCCAGGCAAGTCTCAGATGTTTTTAGGTCAAATGAAGACAAGACTACCGGTCACCAAGTTTTGTGGGTCTGGCACCCAGGGGGGCTCACTAGCTGGGAGCCAATGTGACCACACATCCCTGGGTCACCCATTGAACTACAAACCGCCAAGGCAGTCCTTCGGGACCACCAGTGGAGACTTTCTCCTCTTGTAGAGTCCCTGCCCCGGAAACCTGCAGGCTGTTCTACCCTGCCCTCTGGAACCGCTCTGAGTCAGAGTGAACCCAATGGCAGAGTCTGAGAGCCGTGGTTCTTCTCGGAGGTGGAGGAGGGAGTCCAGACCCTGGGTGGGGTTTGGAAGGAAGTCGCGATGTTCCCGCTGAGGGCAGCTTGGAAGATGGTTGGGGTAGAAACTGAGACCACAGAGCTAGGGGGCTGGGGGGCGATAGGTCCAGGAAGCCACCACTGTCCACTAGGGAAATGATCTAAGGCTGGATGACCAAGGTCCACTTGCCCAAGGACCTCGCCCAAGCACGGTCCTGGGTGCTTACAGGGCGCACAGTTAGAGCAGAAACCCTCTTGGACCAGACCTCTCCAACACCATCCCCTTCTCCCGGCCCCTCTGCTGCCCCCATTCTTCTTCACCTAGGGGCCCATGAGGTCTGCTCAGGGGGGAGGGGAGGCTGGACCAACTGCCCTCGAGCCAATCATGTGACAGCTTGGCATCCGTGCTGCTGTGCTTCCCGCCGGCCGGCTGGCCAAGTCTGTCCTTCGCAGGGAGAATGAAAGGGATTTTCTTTCTTTTTTTTTTTTTAATCATTTTATTAGGGGCTCATACAACTCTTATCTCAATCCATACACACATCCATTGTGTAAAGCGCATTTGTACATTCATTGCCCTCATCATTCTCAAAACATTTCTCCTCTCCACTTAAGCCCCCGGCGTTAGGTGCTCATTTTTCCCCTCCCTCCCCTTCCCCCCTCCCTCACGAGCCCTTGATAATTTATAAATTGTTATTTGAAAGGGATTTTCAAACCCCCGCCTGGACCACAGCCCTCACTTAGCCTTGGGCCCCTTTCCCAAGCTGCCCTGCCCCCTTGTTCACCCAAGACATGTGGACATGGCTTCAGGCAGGCTGGAGACACGCTGTCTCTTTCTCGGGGGGGCCGACCTGTCTTGGCCTAGAACCTGGGGCTCCCAGCTCAGGAAGAGGCCCAAAGATAACAAGCAGTCCAGCTGGAGAACAGGGGAGAGCTCTTCTGGAGCGGGAGAGAGGAAAGCTGGAATGTTTGTAGGCTGCAGGCAGCCCAGGTGCACATGTGGGCCACGTTTACATCCCACGGCTTCTAAAGAAAGGCAGCTCGAGTGTCCAAGCCTTCAACCCCCTGACCTTGCCTGTTGCTGGCCTCCCATCTTCTCAAAGGGGTGGGGTCTCGGGGTGTGGGGTCCCCCCAGGTGGATAGCAGAGTCTGTACGCTGGATGGTCCTGTCCGGAAAGTCCGCGAAGGCGCTGAAGATCCTCCGGTGGGTGGCTGCCTTCAACGGCAAGAAGGAGGAAGGAGAGAAGCTCAGCTTAGAGGTAGGGATGAGGAGGGATCGAGGTTTGAAGGTGGGAGTCCAGGCCTTTGCTCCTGGACTCCTCCTTCTGCTTGGCTCTGTTCCCCTGCTCCCAAACCTGCATCCTACTGGTCCCCTAAGCCAGCCCCTCTGGAGGTCCCAGGCCTATACCTTCTGCTTCCTGCCCACTGGTGGGTCACTAACAGCGCCCCTCCCTTTCTCTTCCCCAAGGAGCTCAAACACAACCTGCAGAAGGAGATCTCCTTGGCCAAGGCCAAGTACAGCATCACCGACCTGTTCCGGACGCCCATCCTGCGCCGTGTGTCGCTCTGTCTCTCCCTGGCCTGGTAACCCACCGCCTCTCCCTGCCCACTCCCCAGCACCTCTGGCAGACTCGGCAGACAGCACGGCCCAGGGCATCTGCAAGTGGAATCATGCACCCCCTTCCCCGGGCCTGCCCCAACTCCCAAGCCCTCTGCATCTCTGCCCCCCACACCCCCACCCAGACCCAGTCACCAGGGTCACGCCCCCCTCCACCCATGCAGCAGATGCTTCCAACCCTTTCACCAGACGGGACCACAGCCGTGGATGTGTCTGCAGCTGGGTGTCCCTGCCACTGCCTCCGCTGGTCCAGCTCTGCCCTTTGAGACACCACAGGGCACAGCTGCCCTCCGGGTTCCAGGCTTGAAAACAGAAATTGTGTGGGAGCTGCGTTTTCTCGGCAATCCCCGTTTGGGCCCTGATGCTGAAAAGCCCTTGTCTGTGCTGCCCATGCCTGTATGAATAGGGTCAAAACCGTGGTCCGGGAGCACGTCTCAAAAGAGAGTCCACGATGCTGATGAGGGATGGAGGAGACCGAGCTGGTCCATGCAGACCACCTAGCTTTCACCTCCCCAGCACGGAACAGGCAACTCCCACCTCCTAACCCAAAAGCTGGGGGTCCAGACCCACCCAGAGGCTCCAGAAGAAAGGTGGGGCGAGCCACTTCAGTCCATGTGACAGCCAAGAAACACCCCATGGGGTAGTTTCTACTCTGTGACACGCAGCACCCCCATGGTCAGAATCAACTCAGTCGTGAGGGATTTGGCTTTGGGGTGTGGTCCCCAGGATTCCCTCCAGTCTCGCCGTCCTCAGGGGCCAACTGCATGGCCCCGATGTCAGTACATGCCAGAGGCAGACCCATCTCTGATACAATGCACCCAGCACGGTCACCTCGACCAGGGCCTCTTGTTGGCACAGTGGTGAAACGGGTGCCCTGGGGCCGGTATGAGGAAGCCCCTGCCTGCCCTCGATGCTGACCTCCCCTCTCTGTTCTTCAGGTTTTCCACCGGGTTCGCCTACTACAGTTTAGCCATGGGAGTGGAAGAGTTCGGGGTCAACATCTACGTCCTCCAGATCATCTTTGGGGGGGTTGACATCCCCGCCAAGTTCATCGCCATCCTCTCCATGAGCTACCTGGGCCGGCACATCACCGAGGCTGCGGCTCTGCTCCTGGCTGGAGGGGCTATCCTGGCGCTCATCTTTGTGCCCACGGGTGAGAGGCTGGGGACCGCAGAGCCCTGGGAGGAGCATGGACCACGCAGGACGTGTCCTGGGCTAGCCTGTGACTGACCCTGAGTCACCGGGTCACCTTGAGCCAAGTGGCTGTGCTCCCTGGTCTCGGGTCTTTTGTATAGACTCTAACAACGCCGGGCTAGATGCCATCGGAGCTCCTTTCCTGAGCTGACTTGGGCCGAGCAGGCTATCGGGATGGAGGGTGTCCCTGTGACGCCAGTGCCGAGAACAAGGGGCCCAGGGCTCACAACTTCCTCCGTCGGGGCTTGGACGGGCCACTCGTCTTTTAGAGAGGTGCCGGCTTGTCGCCAGGAGCCCGGTGGTGCGGTGGTTACGCATTGAGCGACTAACCGCATTGAGGTCAGTAGGTGGACATCACCGATGGCTCCTTCCCAGAGCGTCGCTGGGAGTCAGATCGGCTCCCGGGCAGTGAGTTCTGTTTGACGTTGTTTGTTGATTTACCTCAATTCAACTCAACTCACGGCCCTCAAGTTGAAGCCGACTCCCAGCGACCCTCGAGGGCGGGTTGGAACGGCCCCTGTGGGTTTCCAAGACGGTAACTCTTTATGGGAGGAGAGATCCCCATCGTTCTCGTAAGGTGAAGGTTAGTGGTGTTGAACTGCTGGCCTTGCCATTCGCAGCCCAACGTCTAACCCCTTCACCACCAGGCTCCTTCGCTGATTATACCTATGTCCCTCTGAAGGGATTGGAAGCATCTTAAGACAAAAGCCTGTAGATCCAAATATAAATGAAAAGAAGAAATCCGGGCCAGGGGGGCAAGAAAACACAAACACAGCGGGATGTGAGCAAGCACCGCATTAGAAACGGCAGCGGAGCTATGACTGAGCTCAGAGTTTGCATCTGAGCTTCCTGGCAGCCGAAGCAAAAAGAGAGACCGTGTCTGCCGTAGAATTTTAACAGCCAGTCCGGAATCTTTATAGCCAGCCCTCCTGTGAGACTCCAGGCAAAGGAAAAGCAGATCTGTGTCTCCCCGGTCCGCACGCTGCCCTTCCAAGCCCGTGAGATGATCATCCGGGCCGGGGCATGGGGAAAGGTCTGGGACAGGTGGACTGGGAAGGTTTGCCAAGTGACGTATCCCTGTGGGTGCTCTCAGCTCCTGTGTTTCTCCCTCTGCAGAGCTGCAGACCCTGAGGACGGCGCTGGCTGTGTTTGGGAAGGGGTGCCTGTCCAGCTCCTTCAGCTGCCTCTTCCTCTATACCAGCGAGCTGTATCCCACCGTCATCCGGTAGGTGTGGGTGCCGGGATCAGCCAGAGAACACAGCATCGGGGAGACGGCAGCTTCCTCCTGTCCTCTGCCCAGGGGCCCATCCCCTGAGCGTCCCACGTCCGGGCTGCCACTTCCTGTTCTGCACCTCCCCCCCGCAGGCAAACAGGCTTGGGCATCAGTAACCTGTGGACTCGAGTGGGCAGCATGATGGCCCCGATGGTGAAGACCCTGGGCGAGGTGCAACCCTTCATCCCCAACGTCATCTACGGGGTCTTCGCCCTCCTGGGAGGCAGTGCTGCCCTCTTCTTGCCCGAGACCCTCAACCAGCCCTTGCCAGAGACCATTGAAGACGTGGAAAAGTGGTCAGTCCTGCCTCTGGGCCCCCACCAGGGCTCCTCCTCAGGGAAGCAGGGCTGGACCCCAAGGCTTTGTTTGCCTAAGCCCTCTCTGTCCTCAGGTCCCAGCGGGCCAAGGAGGCGGAGCCAGAGCCGGAAGCAGAAAAGGCCTCCCAGAGGGTTCCTCTGCAGCCCTGTGACCCAGGGCCCGCCCCCAGCGGAAAGCAGCAAAACGCCTTTCCCCGCCCTCCGGGGGCTGGTCCGAACCCGGGCCCTCCCCACCTCTGAGCTCTTCAGACACCCGGGGACTGAAGACAAAATCTACTGAGCGTTGGGTGAAAGACTGTCCATCCCACCACCACCAGCGCCCCCAGCCCAGGCCTGGCCAGTTCAAGGGTTCCTCTCCAGGCCTTCCCACACCCACCCTGCCCTCACCCTCCCTAAAGCCCAAGCCTCTGCCCTCTGTTGGTCCCTGGGGTCCCTGGCTCAGTGCTGGGCACCCAAGACAAAGACAGTCTCCCCTTCGAAGCCCTCACCCCTTTCTCCAAAATGGCTTTCCGGGAAGTGGGGGTCAATAAACAATGATGAGGGACTCAGCCAAGTTGCCCAAGGATGGGGTTGAGGAATGGGACAGGCCACTGTGTGGGGGTGTGCTTGTGTGTAACAAGCAGGTGTGGGCACCCAGATCCCGGCGAGCTGGGTTGACGTGAACAGGTGCATGCATGTGGGTACTGCCCGAGGCCTGGGCTGGAATATACATGTCCCTGCACCCACGGGTGGCAGCGGCGGCGTGGTTACGCGGTGAGCTGCGAAGGGCCAGGCCAGCAGTTTGAAACCACCAGCCACTCCGAGGGAGAGGGACAGGGCTTTCTCCTCCTGTAAAGAGTTAGAAGGTCGGAAACTCGGAGGGGCAAGTTCTACCCCTCCTAGGGGGTCGCTCTGTGTCCGAATGGATTGACCCAATGGCAGTGAGGTTGAGTCTGGGTGGACGAGCACGCCTGTGAGCAGATACTGAGACGTGCTGGGGTGGCCCCTCACCTCCTGACCCTGTTCACCCCAGTCCTCCAAGCCCTGGCTCTGGCCGCGGGCACCACCGACAGCTCTGTCTTCTCTTTAATGGGGAGGAAAAAAAAAAACATAGCCACGCTTGAAGGCTGCTGACGTCAACACCATGCCCCCCAGGTTCCCTCTGCTCCAGACAGAAGGAGGAGGCCTCCCACAGACTCTGCCTCCATCTCCTTCTGCCAGCAGCCAGCACCTCCCCTCGTGGCTCTGGGCCCATTTCTGCTCTCCTGGCGCCTCCCCTTCTTAAAGCCCAGCAGTCACCCTCCCTGGCTTCCATCTCTCCCTGCAGGGCCAATACCTTTCTCCCCTTCCCTGTCAATATCATGTCATGAAGGAGCCGCCTGCATGCCGTGCTTCAGGGCTCGCTCACCCGCCGCTGCACCCCTCTCAGCACGGAAACTGCCTTCATAAGGACCTGATTGTCCCCACTGTGCACTTCCCTGTACTTGGCCTCTCAGCTGACCTGGTCCTACTGGCCCTGCCCTCGTGGGTTCCTCCCCAGGTTCCTGAGCTGTCCACGCTGGCAGCTCCCTCTACCTTCTGGCCACTCCTTCTCAGGCCACTGTGGTCACTTGGCCTGCCCTGTCACCCCTTCTCTCAGGATCTGTGTCCCCAGACCCTGTTAGCTGCACAATTATGGACCCCACACCTCTGATTTTATCTGCCTGCACCAAAGAGCATGTCTGATCCACATCAGACGACTGAGATGTTCTCTCCCGGGCAGGGATCTGAGGCATGAAGTTCAAGTCCATCTCTTGGTCTTTCCTGGACTGGTCAATTCATGCGAGGCCGGACACTGGTGGCCGTGTGGGTTACAGGTTGGGCTGCTAACTGCAAAGTCGGCAGTTCGAATCCCCTAGTCATTCTGAGAAAGAAGGCTGTGGCTCTCTGCTCCTGTAAAGATGTACAGGCTCAAAAACCGAATGGGGGCAGTCTGCCTTGTCCTAGAGGGTCACTATGAGTCAGACGGGCTTGATGGCCGTGGGCTTGGTTTTAGAGTTTGAGGCTGGCCCCAATGCAAGCAGAGCCAAGAATGCCAACTGTGCAGAGAGGCGAAAGCAAAGGTGCAAAGTAAACAGACCAGGAAGGCAGCACGGAGCTGGGTAAGGAGAGCTGGTGAGAGCACTGGTACTGACTCTCAGTGGGTTCCAGGTGCCTCGTCAGGCCTGAGTCTGATCAATACCTTTAGATTCAACCAATAAATGTGTAAGGTGAGGGGTTGTGCTCCTTGTCACCAAGAAATATCAAAACCAGCTCCTTGTCCTTTATCCCCCCTAACTATTGATGTCCCCCAGAACTTTTGTAAGAGCCCGTCTTCTCACAGTCCACGCCAGCACTGTCCAATGGTCATCCAATGTGAGCCACCACCATCGAGTCCATTCCGAATCGTAGTGACCCTACAGGACAGGCTAGAACTTCCCCTGGGGATTTCTGAGACTGTTCGTCATCCTTCTCCCATGAAGCAACTGGCGGTTCAAACGGCTGACCTTGGGGTTAGCTGTCCAATCGTGTCACCTGCAACACCCTCCAGGCTCCTGCAAGCCACGTGTTGCTAAGCGATCAAGTGCTGTTTAAGTGGTTGACGCAACACACAACAGAATGAAGCGGTGTCCAGTCCTGGCCCTCTTCACAATCCTTCTTACACTGCAGCCCATTGTTGCAGCCACGGTGTCAATCCACCTCGTGGAGGGCGGGCCTTCCTCTCTTTCGCTGCCCCTCTACTTTACCCAGCAGGATGTCCTTCTCCAGGGACTGGTCTCTCCTGACATGTGCCAAGGATGTGAGACAAACTCTGGCCTTCCTTGCCTCAAAGGAGCACACTGACTGAACTTCCGAGCACATCAATCATTTCAGATGGCCTCGCTGTTGCCACACTTTGCTGTTGGGTTGACTGTGACCCATGAAGCCCTCGTAGGCGACAGCGTTGAGCTGTGCTCTGTAGGATGGCCTTGGCTGTTAAGTGGATGGCCAAGCCTTTGCTTGGTTCTGTGCTGGGTGGGTTCAAACCGCCAGCCTTCCCATGAGCAGCTGAGTGCTTGTCCGCTGAGCCCCCAGGACTCCTTCTAGATCATTTGTTGTTTGTTGTTGTTGTTGTTGTTAGGTGCCTCCGAGTCGTTTCCAACCCAAAGCAACCCTGTGTACTACAGACTAAAACATTGCATCACCTCGGGGCCTGAAATGTCCAATAGCCACTTTCCAAAGTAAAAGAAAAAGAAAAGAACAGGTGGAATTGCAAGCACGTATTTTATTTAATGCCATCTGTCCATTTCAACATCTCACTTCAACATAAAGCATTGTTCATGAGATGGTATGTCCTTTAACTCAGACTCCGCTTGTAAAGCCTGAGGTGTGTTTTACGCTAGAGTCCCTGTGGTTCGTTGCCATTGATTTTGCCCCTGGCTCACCGTGACCCAACACAGCAGACTGAAACACTGCCTGGTCCTACGTGATTCCCAGGATGGGTTGCAGGGCAGATCTTGGGGATCCATAGGGTTTTCCTGGGCTGATTTTTGGGAGCAGATCTCCAGGCCTTTCTGACTAGCCCGTCTTTGTCTGGAAGCTCTGCTGAGACCTGGTCAGCAGCACGGGAACACACCAGCCCACACGGACAGCTTGCAGAGCAACGTCATGTACTCAGGGCTATGCACGAGGGACACTGGCTGGAAATCAAACCTGGGTTCCCCACAGCGCAACTCAACTCGGACTACCTCACTCTGGTCTCGGTCACGGTGAGGGGTACCTTACGGGACAGTTCAGGCCTACCCATGGGGTTAGGTTGGGTTCCCTAGAGAAGGAGCCCAGCGCTGTCTGTGTCTGTCTCTAGAAAGAGATGTCTGTCCAGAAATCGCTCACGCCAGTGTAGAAGTGGTAAGTCAATCCAGTTCAAGGCCATATGTCAGATATAAGCTGGACGCTTCTCCTGACTCCTGTAGCTGCTCGACCTGAGGAACAGGAAGCAGGCAGTTGAAGCAAGAGGGGCCCAGACTGGTGGATCCTGAGCGGAATGAACCTGAGACCCGTTAAGTCAATCCAAGACCGTCAGTCTGCTAGTGGCTCCCGGGATGCGCAGGTGATAGAACAGGACATCAATGAACCAGACCTGGGAGCCGGAGTCATCAGAAGACAAAGGGGCAAGGGAAAGCTGGGTTCTAGTCAGAGTCTCTCTTATCCAAAAGGGCAGCCTCCCCACACCCCCAGGTGTCATCAGGCTGTGACCCGACAGAACAGTTTGGCTCCACCCCTCCCTTGACCCAAGTACGTTGAGTTGACATAAATCTAACCATCTAACCATCACACTCACTGTAGGAGATTCATCAGAGTCACAGAACTAATTACACTCAAATCTGCATTTAGGGATTTGAGAGCCCGCTTCACAAACATGAAAGAGATCGCCTTGCTCCCCAGCCTCAACCTAGTTATGGCTTCCCACTGGGGTAAAGTCCACGCTCAGTGACAAGCACATCATGATCGGCCTCCAGCCTGTCTCAACAGCTTCCGTTTTTAACACCTGGCATCCGGCAATCCACCCTCATCCAACTTCTTCCAGTTCCTGGACTATCTACTTGCCTCCTCCTGCTCCGATCCTGTGCGCATGCCCAGGACCTGGCTTCTCCCCGACCTGTGCCCACTACACTTGGCTCATTCTAACTCATTCTCAAAACCTTGATGTGAATCATTCCCCGACACACACACAAAAAAAAAACCTCCCTGTGACCCCATCCCCCAGTGCTGCCGAAATCAGGGGCCGCTCCTGGTCCAAATCAGGTTAGCCAACTGTTCTCCCCTAGGCTGAGATTTGAGACATGGAAGCTGAGAGTCTTGGCTATTTGTCCCTGATGATGACACTGAATTGTGGTTGTCAGCTTACAAGTCTCTCCTGTCTCAATGTGGGTTCCCCCAGATGCAGGCCCTGAGACAAGGCTTTGAGTGCTAATAGTTCCACACCAAAACACAAACACAAAAAGAGGGGAAGAGTGGAAAAGGGACACCAGGAGAAGGGAAACAAAAGAAAATAAGGAAGACAGAAGGGTCCCTCGTCCAGTCCCATGGGAACTGCTGGGACTGGCAGTTCCCCATCATTTCAGCAGCAGGGCCCCCCCATCTGGCTTGGACAGTCTGGATGGCACACCTGGGACCAGTCCTGAGTTGTGCTGCTCAGTGAGATGTGATCTTTGCTCTCAGGGTGGTCAGACCCCACTTGCTGTGGAGTTTCTCCCTTAGAATCTAGGGTCAACTGACAACAGAGCCAGCAATGCCTCCTTTGGCTTGACTGGGTCGCACCCTGGAGGGAGAAGAACTGAACCGTTGCCCTCCGGCCCCCACTGCCATCCTTCAAGCATGTAGAGAGGTTCCCTGATGCCCTCGCCAGGACTATTGCCCTGCCGTTTCAGAGTGTTTTTTACAGAGACAGGTCCTTGGGTAGAACAATGGTTTACACGTGGCCATTAACCTGATGGTCACTGGTTCAAACCCATCCAGCCAGCTGACGATCTGCTTCTGTGAAGAGGAAGTCAAGAAAACCCCTTGATGT